TAACCTTGATACAGCTATCATTAAATTAACGGAATAAGCTTAGATAAATAATAATAGTTAAATTTTTCTTGTTTTAACTTTTACGGAACAATATGTTTCGTCAAAATAGATTTCATTTCTGGAAATAACGAAATTATTGAGTAGGTTCCTTGGAGCAATATCATTCTTGTCCTCTTATGACGAAATATAGGAAAAATTTGTATCCATAGGTTCTGTAAAAAGTTTGTTAACCTTCTCGCTGCATATGTTTCGAGTTCGCTGCAAGTTCGAAAATTGTGTATTTTTTATTACAATTTTCAAATCTGATGATGATTCTAAAATTGGAACGGCTTCGAAATCTTTTTACAAATTTCAATTTTTATTATTTGCTGATTAACATAATAAAGCATTTTCCTAATAAAAAATATCAAATTAACTAATTCCTAATAACAAATTATGCTATAATGATATCTAGGGAATTGAGCTAGAGATGAAAAATAATTTTAACAAAAGTTAATTTTTTCAACATCTTTTTTTAAAAGAGCAGCTTTCTTAAAAATTAACGGTGTAGTATATAAATTTAAATGTCAAAATGAAATTGCTGTTCGAATTTGTTCATTTAAAAAGCAAAGCATAGAGTTGTGGATTTTTGAGTTGCACTTATGTGTATTTACTTTTCACAAACCAAACAAATAAGAAACAATAAAGTAAATAATTTGTTTGTTCAATCTTAGAGAAAAAGGTGCACTTATTTACTACAATCAGTCAGACGTTTTTCACTGAGTAATTTTAACATAAAAAATGTTCTTAAAATCTTATCAGCTAATTGGCTATAGTTCTGAGACTTGAAAAAATACTTAGCAATTACTTACAACGAGTGTTAATTTTAAAAAAAACTTAAAGTACTAATAAAAATTAATTAGTTGAATAGTTCTGTGAATCACACGTTAAGCTACGCGCGTAAGTCAAATTCCTCGTAAGCTAACCACATTTAAATATTTGCTCATTGTCACCGAAATATTCTTTTTAAAAATATTTATTTTTAATTTTTCTCGGCTTCTACTAAATAAAAGCAGTTGAAACTTCAAATTTTTTAATAGGAAAATAAGTAGATTAATAAGTATAAAAAAATTCATACCTCAAAATTCTAAATTTTTTTATCCTTAATTAAATTAAATATATAATAATAGATAATTATAAAAAAATATTTTTGTATTAAATTATCTTTGAGGAAATGGATTTCATGAGTGGGTGTAATTTTTTATTAATTGCTTAATAAGTTTTGAAAATATGTCTAGAACAGCAAAAGAGGAAATTAACATTAAGGGATCAGAACTCTGGATCGCTCTCCTGACCAAACTATGGGGAACATATTTCCCAGATTGCTGCTACCCCCTATATTTGAATCCAAATATGTAAAAAAATTATATTTATTCAGAAAAAGAATGTTTCTGTGTCTGATTTCAGTAACAGTTATCACTAAGTAATTAGCCTATTTCAGGTTACCCCCCCCCCAGGAGCAGTTAAGATTGATTCTCAGTACGTGAAAATCCGATCATTAGAACGAAAGTTATTCAAGGTGATATCTTTTTTATTTTGCACATTGTACATTGAGTAACCAATCAAAAACACTGGATAAGAAAATTTGTAGAAACTACACTTATAGTTGACGTGTACATCATTTTTAATGTCCGAAAATAAATTTCAAAATAAAGATAAACAGGCAAGAAAACAAAGAACACAGAATCATTTCAAAGTATAAGAAACTATTAACTTGCCCTTTTGATTTACTTTTATCCTTCTTCCTTTTCCAGTGGTCTTTCGACATCATGATTTCTGACTCACCATTTTCTTCCTCGAACCTCGTTCCTTCAAACTTGTAGTCTGGAAAAATTATTATTCGATAATTAAAAATTTACTGATAATAATCTTTTTGCATCCAAAAATGAACAGAAAAATGTAAAAAAAACTTCCTAGTTTTACTAAACCTTAATTGAAATTTAAACAAAGTTCTTCTCATCGCCAGTCATAAGTAAGTAACTCTAAAAATCATATATTTATTCATCACATTTATCACATTAATAATAGTTTTTTCTTATTGGTTTATTGGAATCACGTACACTTGCAGGCTTGTCTGCTCAATTTAGGCTTATAAACCTTTGTCAAATAGAAGGACAGATAGCACAATACAGAGAAGGACAGCACAAAGATACATCCAGGGTAACAGTAGGATTCGAACCCGCTACCACCACGCTTTGCACAGCGTTTGGCGAGGCCCCGTATAGTTTTTGCTATACTGAACTACGCAGTGCGAAATAAACAAATAAATAAAAATAATAATAAAAAAATCTTTAATTTTTGATATGAAATTACTCAAAATGTAATGAAAGTATTAAAATCATTTTTATGTCAGAATGTTCGTTAAACATTTCGCTGAAAATACCTAAAATTGCATATTTTTCATCAAGTATTTTACCTGCAGTGGACTGAGTGTTAGGACACGATTCCCAGTAGAGCACCGAAGTTAAGCATCACTGGCTGCTTTCAGTGTGCTGGTGGGTGACCATATTGATCAGCCTGCAAAGAGACCGAGAGTGTGCGGTATCGGTCCTCGCTAAACTGTTCGATCGTCAAGTGCTCGACTTCGAGCAAAGGTCGTCGAGTTACCGAAGCAAGGGAGTCATCCCCTCTGCGGAGGTTCAAAATTGAGATGGCTTGTCCTCGGATCAGCCTCAGGAATGTTTCTCTGACCGTCGCCAATAGCCCGTTGTACTGCTCCAGTGCGACGTAAAAGAACAACGTCATCATCGAATATTTATAGCGTTTCTGAAGTTTTCTGAAAAAGCGGAGGTCGCTCCAGCAACTTAAAGTTTAGAGATAGACAATTCATAAATGGTTTTCAGTGCTAATTATTTTCGCATTTTGTCATCTCAAAATAATATTTACAATTTGTTTTCCTTTTTTATAATGCTTTGATGCTCTTTTTTTTGTTTTCGTTTTTCATTTTTTTCTCTTGAACTACTTTCTTGGTACGTAGATCTTAATGAGATATCAAACTCATCGTCATTAAAAAACGCCTGCTTAGATCATCATTTAAATGAGTGGAACAGATTTTGGAGATCACTTTTGCTATGTTCCATTTATAAGACTAATCGCTTCAAATCAGTTTTTGATTATTTATATTTTTAAATTTTCAAGAAAATTCAAACAGCACTAGAAATGAAAAGAAAAGGATCCTTCTGAATAAAAAGAATAAATAGAAAATAAAATAATAAGAATAAAAATAAATGAATAAAAATACTAATAACATCAAACGGTATAATAATAATAACAGAAAACGATAATTTTAGCATACAAATAAAATAAAAAATCGATATCGAATGATATCATATCAATAAGCGATCTCATTAAGAAGAGACTACTGTATTAAAATAACGTCTCTGATTTTTTTGATCCCGAAATTACGGATCTAGCGTTTAGAAGGTTTGAACTGATTAAACCAATCAAAAGTAAGTTTGTGAAAAACATTAATCTTTATTTCAAACATTTTTCTACTGCGTGTCTCCTAAAATTAGGAAGTCCACTTTCAGAGACCCTAACTTAAGCCTAGATACACATTCTAGCCTAGATGCTTAAATAATATGACAATAAACTGTTGATTTTAATTTTCAATACTGAAAATATATTTTCTAAAATTATTTTTTCGTTCTTAATTTATAATTTTCTGAATAATAAAAATAAAATCTCTCTCTGGTAAAATCTCTCACGTCGGTTTTAAACGTAGCATCTAAATTTATATTTGCCAGCGCAAGGGGAGTGGTGGTGGAATAATTTATTCTTCAAAAATATAATCAATATTTGAAGATCTCAGCTCTTAAATCCTTTTCTCCAGGGCCTTCATATCCTGGGACCTCAAACATCGAACAAGCCCTGATTCTTTGCTTTCTTGGCCATCCCACGGTGAAGTGTGGTCGCATTTATTACTAAGTTGGTTCTATTGCGATAGCGCTTGCATTTTTTTTAATATGACAGTGCTGTGGTCTTTTAGGGACTTGATAGCACCAACTTGCTACCTTCTCGGTAGAAGTTGAAGGTCTTTTAGGGACTTAATTGCACCAACTTGCTACCTTCTCGGTAGAAGTAGAAGGTCTTTTAGTGATTTGATTGCAGTAACTTGCTACCTTCTCGGTAGAAGTTGAAGGTCTGTTAGTGATTTGATTGCACCAACTTGCTACCTTCTCGGTAGAAGTTGAAGGTCTTTTAGGGACTTAATTGCACCAACTTGCTACCTTCTCGGTAGAAGTAGAAGGTCTTTTAGTGATTTGATTGCAGTAACTTGCTACCTTCTCGGTAGAAGTTGAAGGTCTTTTAGTGATTTGATTGCAGTAACTTGCTACCTTCTCGCTAGAAGTTGAAGGTCTTTTAGTGATTTGATTGCAGTAACTTGCTACCTTCTCGGTAGAAGCTGAAAGTCTTTTAGGGACTTGATTACACCAACTTGCTACCTTCTCGGTAGAAGTTGAGGACATTACTTGATCAGCTACGGGTCCAATAAGGCTCTAAACCTTTTCAAAGCGAGAAGCATGGATCCTCTAACTGACTTCGGTCTACCGATCTTCCACACTAAGAATTTCACGATACGAATCGGCGGCCTTTCTTATTCGGAATCATCACTTTTTTCCCTTAGTCTATTTGCCACTCTGGTCTGTTGAAGTTTGTTTCAACATATGAATTATGTTACTTCTATACTCTATATTACATTCTTATTAGTGTTTTAGTTTTTCAGGGACTCTTTTGACGATAACTTACAACATTGTCTGTCGCAAAGTGTGGAGGTAGCAGGTTCGATTCCCGCATGAATTATATATAATAATATTCTTTGTAAAGTCTTTCTGTAATTTGTGCTTATTCTATTTACATACATATATGAGCTTGTGTGTGCAATTTGTGATTTATAATCTCTGCTTTGACATGAGTTTATAAGTCGTTCGAGCTCAGAAACCTGTGTTGCTATCGAATAAATAAAATGTGAAGTGTTTTCAGAAAAACAGTGTCACCATTGCACACCAAAAAGTTCATTCAGTAAAAATTTAACAATTTCAACCGTTTATAACGAAAGAATAAAATAAGTTGGGAAGCTCGGCAAGAATCACAGGTTTGACCATGTTTTTTTCCTGTGTTATACTATTTCTGCTAATTTTGGCTTCCTTTGACAATTTGTCTTGTGCTTATTTAATACGCATTTGAAATAAGTAGTTCATGATTATAGTGTGAATTCCAGCTTATGTAAACTAATTTGTTATGAACGTTTGTTACTTCCAATACAAATAACAAAATCATCAAAGAAAAACAAATCATTATAGAAAATGATGGTAAGTAAATGAACATTTAAACAATGATTTGACAAAAAAATGTCTTTTATTTAAACATAATGACTATTTCTCCTTTCGAAAATAACGCCATTAAACCTTATTTATAAGTAATCATATTTAATTCTTACCCGTCCATTTACTAGCAATCTTTCGATTTCAAAATGTTGCTTCTTTTTAACAATTAAATTAACTCAATATTGCTTGGAAAATTGTTTCTGATTATTTTTTAAGCGTGTATTTGACAAAGTCATATTTTATTAAAAACTTCAATTAGTTTATTTTCAGTCAGTCTATCTAATGAATTTTACAGAACCAATATTCTAACAATACAATGAAATTTATATTTTGCCTACAATTTAGATCTCTGAAAAAATTTGCTATAGCTACTGATGCATCTTGGAAAACTTTTCAAAGCTGTACTCTTAGGTTGAATTCTTTTAATGAACTTTTTAATTTGTGCTTTGTAATCTATTTACCAAAATACATCTTTCCCACGAAACATCTTTTACCCAGATTTATCTTTTCTAGTCCGTCTTGATGGACTTAATAACTGGCAAAAAATATAAAGAATTTTATTTCCAATAAAAGAATGAGGGTATATTTTATTTCATCTCTACTTTACTTTTGGAAAATATTTAAAAGCAAAAATAGTGACATCGAAAACATAATATATTTAAAAATTTTAAAAACAGTGTATTGAATAATAAACCTTTATTTTAAAAAATAAGTAATGAAAAGAAAAGAAAATCAGATTTGGTTAAAAACTTTTCCCTGGTCTCCTTATTTTAGATTGTAGTGATTTCGAAGAGTTGGGCAAGATGTATCTTAGGCGAGACATGCGAGATATATTTGGGGGAGATCCTTTCAATTTAATTTTGAAAAGTGTTTAGCTTTGTTTGTAAAATTGTTGAGCAGATCTCAAATTTTTCTTTGCAAGGATTACCATCTGGTGAAATACAATCCAACTTGTTATCTAAACGAATCATAGCCTGAGTAAGACAGCAAAAATTCGATTTTAATCATGGTAATTTTTCTAAAAAAAATGATAACTGAAAGTTGCTATACACCATCGGAAAATTGAAAAAAATTAGTATTGATATAAAATTTTCTTGATTTGACTTTTTACCGATTACAAATTCTATTTAAAATATTTTTTAATTAAATTCATTAATACAAATGTCGCTTAAACTTGCTCTTCTAAAAATATTTACCTTTTCAAATACTTTAATTATTTTACGTTTTCCGAAAATATCAGAAAATTTTGTTTCTAAAATCCTCATTCCCATGATTTGGGATAGTAAAATATAAAGAACTGATAATACAATATAAAGATATAAAAATCTGTTAGTTATATTTGATGCAATTTTTTTCTGATATATTTCGAATAATTTGATTTAGTAGTCATTTGATGATTAAATTTCAAACTCAGAAATTTTTTACTATCACTTATAATCAATTCTTTTAATCTAATACTCTCTGAATTTATGACTGCTAAATACTTTTTGCTTTTATTGATTTATACTATTCTTATAATTTGATTGAAAGTAGTCACAATGAACTCTTGTTAAATATGTTATTTAAACAAGTTGTTTGTCATTTTGTGTTCAATATAAATCAATTTTTGTTTTATTTTAAAATCAAAATTTGTTTTTTTAAGAAATAAAAAGTCATTAATTTAAAAAGAAATTGAAGTACAGTTAAAGCTCTAGGTAACAAGTACTGTTTTATTACGCGAATTCCGCTATGATAACAAGTTTCCCTTTCACTGCCAAAATGTTAATTTTAAAGATAAAAAACTATATATATAACAAGTTTTTAAGTTTAACAACGACAACAAGTTCTAGAGCTTTGCGCTCCCGTGCCGCAGGTCCTGGGTTCGATCCTCGGGACGGGCAAGGTTGACTCAGCATTTATTTCATTCCTTTCGTGGGTCGATTAATGAGTACCAAGCATGCTTGGGAACTAAACACTGGGGGTTTTCGCTTTCGGCTGACCACCTAAGAGGAACATCTGCTCCTGCACCCCAGAGCCCAAGGTCAAGAAAACTGAGATGAGCACAGTAGGCCTTGGCCCCCTATGGGTTGTCACGCCACTGAGTTTAGTTTAGTTTTTAATTTTACCGAAAAAAAGCTAAATTTAAGACCTTTTTTATATTTCTGATATCAATAAAGGAAAATAAAAACGAACATCATTTTTCTATATTATTCCCTTACAATAATTTTATTCAATTCAAATATTCTATAATATTAATTCTAATAATAATATTCAATAATACATAATCTAAAATAATCTAAATCTAAATAAAATAATCTAAACTAACATTATTAAAATATTCTAAAATATCTGTCAAGTTAGCTTGTGTAGGCTTGTGAGGTCAGTCTGAGGGTGGGTGACCACTTGGATTAGTCTGCGTAGGGATCGAGGGAGCGTGGTATTGTGATCCTCTTGCAAGTCGTCGTGCTACTGAAGCGAAGGTGCCATCCCCTCTGCAGAGCATCAAAATTGCGATGGCATGTCTTCGGATCATCTTCAGGGATGCTTCCCAGACCGTCACCAATAGCCCATTGTGAAGCTCTACTGCGACGTAAATGAACTACAACTATAGCGACAAGACATTTACATCGGCTATAATGAATTATGCTGCCATCCTTTTATACTGTAACGAACTTTTACTGCATTACTTAGTTTTCTACTCCTATTACAAATTAGTATTTCTATTTTAGATTGATCAGTATTTATACAAAAAATAATAAGTATTTGTAACTTATAATCAGCTGTATTAGTAAAAGTTCGTAACTGATACCGAAAAATTCGTACTTACCTATCTCTTAAAGAAACCATACATATGTATTAAAAAATTTATGCATTTTATTTCATTTTAATTCCCAAGTTGAAGAGCCTACTTACATTGGACTTATTACAATTTTCAAGTCAACATGACAGTCTTGTAATAATTACAAGACTGTCAATTACAGCCAAACCTATTCCTGATAGGCTAGCCTAATCGGTTAGATAAATTGCTTTTCAGGGAGGCGAGTACTCTATCACCTGATTTGTCACGATTCGATCCTTTCATATATTAATAACTAACGATCGTTGTTGTTTCTAATGCCACTTGCCATACTAGCAAGTATACTGAACATACTGAAACCGAGCCATAGTAGCTTGGTTTCACCAAGCCTGCTTTGTGAAACCGAGCAAATTTAAGGCAGAGAGTGCGTTTCTTGTTTTTCAGTGGCGCCATCTATGACCAAGAATTCGACTTCTGCCATGTCATACGTCGCACCCGTTTATAGAGCGGACCCATTCATACATCCATTCATTCATTCACAGATCGTAATCTTGATCTGAATTAGAGAACGATCGATCTCCAATCCAGTACCCAAAGAGGTATTGATTTGTTATGGGAACATGGAGGACTTTTGCGACTCGACAGATTTAACGTGCATCAGTCACTTTACTACACGGGGACTTTGGCCGGCGGGGTTCGAGCCCACGAACTCTCGGACATGGCCTAGCGCCCTACCGACCAGGCTATCCCGGACCCACTAACGATCGTAAAATGTGTTTACTAAATATAAGAATTTCATAATTCAGAGTTGTGATTTGTGGCCCCTATTGCATCAGGCATGAAATATGAACCTTACACCCATCCACCACAAGGTGGCAAAATTGGAAGCCCAACCCTCCATGCTGGAAATATTACAAAAGTTTTGCATCAATATCCTGTTGTATAATCCCTTTTGAACAATTGAAAATCAAAACCATTTGTATTTTAAAGCTGCAACAATAGTCTTATCTTAATCTTAAGGAAATTTTTGGAAATAAATTTTTTTTGAATTATTTAAAAATCTGTCTTCGAGGTGTACACATTAGTTACAGCAATTTAATTATAACAACAGTAATTGCAAACACCGTTTTTAATAAATTATAAGTGTACTCCATTTTCGAACTTTCTATATTCAATACTATATTCTTTCTATATTCAACTAGACGAGTAGTTCATGATTTTCATTAGTTCCTGCAGTAGAACGCCAAACAACAATTCCACCAAAATTTGTCAGAAAACATCAGCAGTGAATCAGGCGGCCCCATTATTGCGGAACCCCCACTCTATTCGGAAGAATAGAACATATTAAATTTGCCTGAACAGCATGTTTGAAGGGAAAATGCTGGAACTTGATGAATTAACGGCATTCGTCAAATACAAAACAATTAGCCTATTATTACTGTCATAGGCAGATCTGTGGAATCCCAATCCATGAATACTTATTGTTATACTAAGTCTGTGAATAGAGCTATTATATATTTGAACTGGGAATATCGCATAGTGGAATTCAAAGACATAAAAGACAAGTTTAGAAAACGATTCTGGAGAAAAGCTAATAAATAATATTCTAAAGAATATTTTACCTGCAGTTTAAAAATGTATCTAAATCATTATAAAACATTGCAAGCATAAATAATAAAAAATGCTTGTGTGTTTGAAAAAAGTTAAAAATCTTGAATTTTAAAATATTTTTTGATACATGCTAGAATAGGAACTGTGTCTGCCAGGTTTGATGCTGTTAAACTAAAAGTTCAAAAGCTGTTAAACAAAAGTTTTATTTTGTGTCAAGTATGTTAGTGTTTGCTTTCATTACATAGGTCACGGGGTCTTCAAGCTTTTTTTTTAAAAAAATTGCCAAAGGGGCTACACTGTCTAAGTTCCAAAGAGCTTTACAACGAAGGTGTTACTTAAATGCTTAAAGAGATCATCCTCTAGCTCTAAACATTTAAGAAAAACTGTCAATTTCTCATGGAGGTCGGATAATTTTAAGCATTTTTCCAAGGAATTTTAAATTTCCTCTTCCCTTTTAGTATAGTATTTTGTCTTATTCACCTAGCTGGCTCATTATAAGTGAAACCTCTCGAGAGCGACATCAACCGCTCTCTGTTCCACAGGAAAATGGTCGTTAATGGAGGTTACCTGCATTGACTTCATAATGTTCTCCAAGGTACATGATTTTCCCCGAACGATTTTAATTTTACTCAGTGTCATTTTCTCGGTGCAGGAAATGCCACTTCATGTTGGAGCCATGAAAACCGGATTAATGAATAAACTTTAGCTTCAATAAAAATGACCCCTACTGATATAATTACGTGTAAAAACAAATTTACCAATTATGAGAGATAGAACTATTTTAAATAAATAAACAATTATGTTTTTTTGTTTAAATTTGTATTTAATTTTGTATCATAAAAATCATTTACACCATACATCATAAAATCTAAAGCTTGTCTGTTTGATGTGCTTAGTTTTTTCTAAAACAATTTATTTTCCTAATTTAATTTTTAACTCTAAAAATAAATAATTGATAACATCGACTTTAGTGCACTCTGACTGTAAAATGAGGATATAAATCTTTTTCAGAGATTGTCAGAAAGAGTTTTGTAAGTAACAGCCTCACAAATATTTTGAATACATTTTAATCTACTTATTTGTTTTGTTAATTTTTTTTGTTTTGATATGTTCGTGTATCCTTAATTAACCTTTTCCGCATTGGAAGCGAAGGATTGCTCGGTCACTGGTAGAGGTTTTGTTGGTCTCTCTTGAAGGTTTTCTTAACACAAAATCTGTGGAGAAAATTCTCCCAAAAGTGGTCATAACTAGAGGTGGTCTTTTCTTCAGGTTTCACTGTATCAACATGATACAAGTGCAAATTTTATTGAGATCTCGAATGTCCATGGTGGGAGATTACGTCACATATTTAGGACATATTTTATATAACTACTTAAAAGGAAAATGCTAAATTTCTTTTTGTTTATCAGTTATTTTCTGAATGCTATTTTGTAAGATTTACTCCAGTTGTAAATTTTAAAATATAATAAAGATAAACTGAGGTACGCCAGATTAGTTAATCTGGAGGGTAGTTTAGAAAACTCCTCCAGACACAGACTACGTAAAAATTTTTGTATTAGGCACAACAGAGTTGCTTTTGAATCGTTGTGCCAGCAAATTCCATATTCAAACAACAAGCAAAAGCAAATGCAGTTTAAATATAATTTAATCTGAAATAATAGGCCGTGATAGCCTGGTTGGTAGGGCACTGGGCCCATGTCCAAGAGTTCGTGGGTTCGATCCCCACCGGCTGAAGACTCCCCGTGTAGTAAATGGTGACTGATGCACGTTAAATCTGTCGAGTCTCAAAGTCCTCCATGTTCCCATAACAAATCAATACCTCTGGGGGGATCCAGGAGTTTCCTTGTCTTCTGGATTGGTTCAAAATTACAAGGCTACGGAGTTGAACATTAGCAGTCGTAATCCCAAAATTAGGTCGGCTGTTCAACGACGTATATAAAATAAAAAAATCTGAAATAATGTGCAATATTTAAGCTGAAAACAGACAACTGGTACCAGCCGAAAGAGTTGCAGAATCAAAGCTGATTTAGTGTTATAAACAGTATCATCAGTGCCTTCATCTAATTATACTGTACTTGTTAATGGTACCAAAACCTGTAAAGGAATTAATTTACTTGGCTGTACCGAAACCCTTCGGAATTTTCGTAATCAAGACAAGAAGTAGATCGATAATTCCACTAATGAGTATAACAAAATTGTTGAATGTAAATTTCATTTCGGCGCAGAATTTTTCACCTATTTCTTTCTTTCTTTTTTCAAAAAACAGTTGTGTTCCCATTTATATTTTTGAACTTTGTTAAAATTTATTTCATAAAACTATTTTTTATAGTTTATTATTATTTGTCTTCTTAAATAATTTTCAATCAAACTAGTTAGTTTAATTTACCTTGAATAAACTTTTTGAAAAAAATTTTTATACTTGAAAATTTTTAAAAGTTCCTTATTTATTATTTTAATGCCCTTCTTTAAAGTTTAGTCAACCCTTGAAGTCTCAATTAACAAGCAGAAAGAATTTGATTTCAGCATTTGCAGCTTTTTTTTTTCCTTTCACTTAAACTCCAGCGCCACGACACCACCAGTATACTTTTTTATGGTCAGAATGTAACCGTAACAGTAGTACAGACATTTCAGTTTTTTATGCCATTCACTTTTTAAATACAATCAACCTCGTTTACTTTAAAATACGTATAATTAATATATATATATATTTAAAGAAACCATACATATGTATTAAAAAATTTATGCATTTTATTTCATTTTAATTCCCAAGTTGAAGAGCCTACTTACATTGGNTTTCTTAAATTTAATGCTAAGTATATATATTGTTGGTTTTTTTTATGCAATGATTATGAATATTTAATTTAGGTTAGGTCAGTTACCTTCATTCGTTTTTTTTTCTAAGTAAAAATAAAACGGGGAAACCGACCTTTTTCATAAAAAAGAAACTACGATTTCTATTTTGAAAATGGGGTACGTACTTTCAATCAATTTATGATCAAATCTTTATTAAAAAGTCTGTTCACCTGGAATAAAAAATGTGACAGTCTCGTTAGTCTTAAAATGTAAATATTGATTTCTTTTTACTAAATAAGTTAAATGGAAGCATAGCATTTTCTCACTTTTTTTGTCCTTTTTTCTTGTGTGTGCTACCATACCATAATGATGACTTTTGGTTTATATTTTCAGAATCATAAATAAATAACTCTGCACTTAGGAGTCACGAATTAATTTTTAATTGAGATACTACGTTTTCGACCACTGGCCAATCAGTAAAAGCAATAAATAGATCAAATAAAAATCAATGTAATTTAGCAGGAAATTTAACGACGGTTCTTAAAGCGAAATATGAATACAATACGTCAAGACAAATAAGCTGATTATTTATTTATTTTTATTACCTTTGCACTTCCAGAGTTTATTTCAATCTTAAATAATAACAAACGACCGCTAACGTGCTTAGTTCATGACTTCATTTTATGAAAGACATTTTATGACTTAATTTTAAACTCATTGTTTTTGAACTTTTAGGATGTATGTAGGGTACAGCATAAGAATTGAGAATTGCACTTTTGAAATGCAGAAATTGAGAAATTTCCTTATCGAAAATATCAGGAAAAAGTGGTAGCAGACATATTAGGTTTGAATTGACACAAGGAAGTGATAGAAAACATTCACTGGAGGCATCACCCAGTCATGGCCAAGAACCTAGTTCCATTTTTAAGGTATGACAGTTATGGTATGAATGCCACATAATTTTGATCCCGATCAGACGGCGTGGACAGCGCCTGAGTTGGTACCCCTCTCTCCAATCTTCCTCTCTACAATCACCGAGAGGACTTTCAGCGACGATAGATTTAAAATGCTTCTTGATGCGTATATACGCTGATTATTTTCTCGGCTGTCAGGATCGAACTCAAAACCCCAGCTCTCCACCAGCGGTGTGAGCAAAGTTATCGATGTCTGACGCCAATACCGAAGAATTAATTGCCTTAAAAGGAGAAGTGTTGTAATTGGTGGAGGTAGGCAAAGAAAGGTAAGATTTAAAAATATCGAATTTGAATACCTTTTACTGTGCGACTAAATTGTATAATAAATTGTGTAGTCGTCATTTTATTGAAAATGGAATTAGAAAATTAAATGCGAATTTAAGGATTAAAAGAAATTAATAACCAAGAAAATATGCATTGCCTATAATCTTATAACACTCATTTCACTAAAAAATGAAAAAATATTTATTCATTTTTCAAAGAGTGAATCCATATTTTAGAATGTATTTTTCAGCAAAAATTTATTTTGCGTTGAAATATAAAGCTTTTTATACAAACTTGTTTAAAAATCATATTATTAACGAAAAAGTATAATTCACAGTTGAGCTTTTTTGAGTGAGCTCAATCTTTAACTGTTAAAATAATTTAATTTCACGATGTAATAAATTTAAATTTTAGTGGTCTTAATCGTCGATTGAATGCCTGTGCATGCCTCTGCCTGTTACACCAGAGAGTCTTGCCTGACAGCGATTTTCCAATTCAGCGGCGTTTAACGACCCGCTTTCCTCTTTGGCCTTTTTCAGTTGAACTTAATTTTTTTTTTTTAGTTCAGTCACAAAATTTAAAAGAAATAAAGGTTTGCATTATAATGGCGACCAAGAGAAAAATCTCCAAAAAAGAGAACGAGTTGCTAAAGGCAACTGTGTTGTAAATTAGCTGTTCGGCAATAGTGGTTTGCTCGGCAAGTCCCTCATGCCAGGCAGCTAATCCCTAGGTGCTGAATGACCTTGCCACACTATGCATTGCTGACTCTACGTGCTCGTGGTACACGATATCTTTAAGAGCTTCCTAAAGATATAAATCATAGTTTGATGAAACACGTGTGTTAAAGAGAGAATCATCAAGCATGCTAGATGCATAGTAGCATTACCAGTAGTGGAATGCAAAGCATCACCTAGTGGCATTCAATTTACATTTTAGATCATGGATTACCTCACTATTTTCAATTCTTACGATGAAACATTTGTCACAACATTTTGAAACTCTTTGTATATTAAAGGTGGACATTACAAAACACCTTGCATTTCTCTCCTGCATATCCTGTTCTGCATATATCATAGAATTTAAGTTATCATTCCCTAGGGGTTCAATAACAATATGATCGGATTGCTAGTCTAGATAATGGTGTAGGATTTCAATCGGCCTCCATTCGTAAACATTTTTTCTTTAACTTTGTTTAGTTTGAATTTGTAAATTAATAGTTAAAAGTTTTTCTGTCCTTCATTTTAAATCCTATATTTAAATCAGAATTCTAATTTCCAGTATCATCAAATCTTTTTAGCTTCCGAATTTTTTACTATGTAATAACTGCTTGCAATTTGAATATATAGGAGTAGTTTCAAGATTTGTAAATATCTGAGGTGTTTTTTTTTAAAGTAAAAAAAAATCCTTGAATAAATCAAGAATAAAATGCATCATAAAAATGAGAAATAGTACGCCATAAAAAACTGCTGGTGCGTTTGAAACGCAACAAACAAGATGACCTGGCATTGTCGGCATTTTACAATTGCAGCTTTTGAAGGGTGGATTGATTTGTGTCATGGCCAGGAATAAGAAATCATCTGACCAGTGAGGGCAGATAAATTTTGATCCTCACCTAAATTTCATTCATTTTCGCTTTGATTATTCATTTGTTTAAAATGATATTCCATTTAATATAAGATTTTTCTTAATTACTTTTCATTGATAGAACATGAAAAATAATATTTTCATTCCCATATATGGAAGAAGAAAAATAATCTGTTAATAATTGAATAACATTTTAATTGAAAGGAAAGTAATTAAAATTTAGTTAACTAAATCTGGTCCTTCAACATTAAGGAAAATTATTCTCTAAAACATTTTTTACAGAGTTTCCTTTAAATAGTTATTTAGCGACGATTCAAAGGGTCAACATGGTTTTAATTTCGCTGAGCAACTGTCAATGTACAATTTTCATCGATTTTTTATAAATTGTCTAAAATTTAAGTTAGGATTCTGATTTTTTTTACTGGAGTTTAAAACGAAACGTTATTTAAATGCAAACACTTTTGTAGGGCAATGCAAAGAATTTTGATAATTTAATTATCTTCAGAGTTAAATATGAAAAAAAAAAAGATATATGTCTTACGCACATGATTAAGGGCTTAAAAATCATGTTGAAGACTTCAAACAACTTTTTATGGGCAGTCAAATATGCTGTTCTTTGAACCATTCTAGCTCAAAGAAATTAAAAAATTAAAAATACTTTTTAAGATATAAAAGATTTTTTTTTTGGTATTTCATAATAAGAACTGTTTTGACCCCCAAAAATATAAAATATTTACTAATATCCGATTGAATATACCAAATACCAATATCCAAGTATCTAAAATATTAAATAATATGTCATGTGGTCAAATTACCAAGTTTCAATTTATTTTTAGCCAAAATTTATCTTCAAAAGGATATTTGACGGCACCGAGCATGTACTAACAAAAATTTTGCAACACCCTTTCTTATTTTTTCATTTTTTTAAATTTTATTTTTAATTTATTATGAATTTTTTTTGTTGTTTCAAATGTGCCTTAATAGATTAGAGTAGTGTACGTGAAAAGTTGAGTAGAAAAAAATATTTAAATACTAGAATTTCTTTGCAGCTCTTCACGGTTCAATGCATGCGCAAAAAATTCTTAAGCGTTTTTTCTGGAAGCTATATTTTCAAGTTGGCTGGTCTCTTAAATCGAACAAATCTTTTTCAAACGACTTCAAATTTAAACTTTATGCTTAACACTACGTTTTTTACATAAAAATACAAAGATTTTTTCTTAAATTTAATGCTAAGTTTTTTTTGCACAACTAGGCTCACAATTAAATTTTTGCATAAATTTTGGGATATTCTCTATTTTAGGAAAATGTTCTCAAATATTAAGTTTGTCAATTTTACGTAAAAATATATATTTATGAAAATTTACTGGTGTTCTTCATTACACTTGAATAGTATAGGTAATAGTATAGGTAAAATTATTTGTATAGGTAATTAATTGGAGCACCTCTGATTTTCTTCCTTTTTGATATAACTAAACTGTTCATTTATCTTTCGAGTTATGTAAAAAGATCAGATTACAACAATAAACATCAGACTTCATGACGTTAAAACCGAAATTGTTCTTGTAATTGATGAAATAAGAGCAGATTTATGAGGAAATGTAGCAGCTTTATATTGCCAACAATTTAAAGTTCATAATTCAATATTTAAAAAGTATGTGAGAGGTGTTTATTTTCCCGAAGTCAATTTTAAATAAAATTTAATACTCTAATATCTTAAAATTATTAAAAAAAACACACGCACACATTCATGACATATATTATGTTTTTATTTAAAACTGAAAATAAATAGCTTTCATTTTAATAATTTTTTTTTATGTAACAATATATGAATACTGAATCGCTTTTTTAGAGTAGGGGTGTAACCACTTACCATTTTTGATTACGATTTCTTTTTATTAGAATGGGAGAAATAGCTCATAATTTAGAATGTTTTTTTAATATTAATAAGACTGTTATTATATTAATAAAGGTGTTTGATATCTTACAAATATGAAGAAAAGTATGATACACAAAGTAATTTTCTTTAGATCCATATTCTATACAAGCATATTTTTCGCATAGATACATTATTAAATTTTTTTTACGCCTCACGTGTAGGGTCAAAATATATATATATAAAATAATTAATTTTTTAAACATTTCAGGTAATTTAAACGTCTTATATTTTTTTCACAATCACGAGAGTTTCCCCACGATAATTTAGAAAGAATAGCTTTTTCCCATATTTTATACATCCTAAATAATATTATGAGATGAAATCTATATAAATGGAGCAGTGTGTTTATATGTATGTATTCTATACAAATTCGCAATTTTAAACTGATCCGCACATTTGATCCCTTTACATTTTGATCTAATGATCAGATTTTATCCCCTCAGGTTTAAAATTTTATGGTTCGAGGAGGTGACGTCAAATATGCTAATTAATTTCTGCAGACGATATTTTTTAAGTTACGAAGTCAGAAAGAAAAGTTCTTTCTCTAAATAAACATACCGTTTTTTCGATGAATTTGGATTTCTGACTACCAAAATATAGGGTGCAGCCGCAATTCAGGTAATTTAATCCCAATAGTTTGGTCAGGAGAGCGATCGAAAGTTTGGATCTCTTAATGTTAATTTTACTTTTTGTGTATTTAGCCATACCTCAAGAATTTTTAAAGCAAGCAGAAAAGTTTTGCTCACAATTGTAAAATTCGTTTATCAAAGATAATTACATGCAAACATAGCTTGTAATAAGTATTTATTATTTTTCATTGTTTTATTTACAGTCGAAAAAATTTTGACTTGCAAGCTATACAATTTTGCATCATTCTAAAGAATGTAATTTAATATTTCAAAATACAAAATTTGAACGAAATCGGCAAAATAATTTATGAGAAATGGAATTTTTAAAAAGTCATGAATTCAAAATTTGATTTCTCAGAAATTATTCGACCTGTTTTGTTTCCCAGACAGTGGCTGCCCCCTTTATTTTGAGGGTATGAAATTCAAATCCACCGAAAAAAGGTATACATTTATTCAGAGAACGTTTTTGTGTCTGATTTCGTAATTTAAAATATCGTCTGCAAAAATTAATTAGTATATTTGTGGTTACCCTCTGGAACTATTAAGCTTGAGTCCTAGTGTGTCAAAATTAAAGATCCACAGTTATTCAGGGTGGTCCGTTTTTTTGGCACACTGTACGCCAAAAATTATTGTTCTGTATTTTGTGTATTTCTCACTGTAAACACGGTTCAAAAACTTTAAAACTCTCTCCGATCACCGTTGCGCCCTCTCTACATTACAAATAAAACAGTTTTTCATGGGGTTTGCTAAATATTTAATAGTATGAGTTATTTGCTAGCTTGCAGCTCTAATCAATGGAAAATTAGTCTTGTTGCACGCTTTTATGAATTATTCATTTTCGGTCGTTTCCTACTTTAAGTTATGACTGAAATCTACATTAATAATTTCACAATATATGGTAATGACGTCACCAAATTTCTTTATCAAAAGATGTCTGATTATTTTAACACCACATTTTCATTGATACTTATGCTTTAAGAGCGCGTGTTTCCATAAACTTAAATAATGGAAACTTAACAAGGTATAATAAAATAAAATAGTAACCATAAGAGCTGTAAAAAATTACCATTTCGCAATATACATCAATGATGCTTAATTAATTTTGTAATAATTAAAATTTTAAAAAAAATTTGTACTACGACACTATATTAATGTTGAAAAGGTATTTCATTTAGGAAAGTCATAATATATCACCTTATTATTGACGTAAATGTTGCTTAATTATTTTTATCAATAGGTACTACTGATATTATCTTAATTGGCGTTTTTTAATAGGTACTAAATATGCTAATATTGGTACCAAGATAGCTACAATAGGTTTAGTGGAAATAGGTTTTTTACGGCTCCCCGAGCGGGACAAATACTGGAGAAAATTGTTTATTATGGCACTTTTTGAATATCAGAATCGGACCTCATCCAGTAGCATTATGCCAAATGGCACTAATTATAATTAATCTTTATTTTGATGGGATGATAATGAACTTGATAACGTAAAGCCACCGGGAAAAGAGAAATAATAATAGTTAAAGATTGTAATTGTTTTAGCTTATTTGAATTGGTATATATCTTTCAGTTTTGTGCCTGATATCGTAGTGTTGATTCACACCTATTTATCGACTATTATTTTTTTCCACCCCGATGAATGTGTATTCAGATAGTTGATCATAAATTTAAAAAAAAGACGAATGATAGTCTGAAATAAGTGAATATTAATAATTGCCTACGCATTAGTATAGATAACCTCTTATCCGCTTAAACAGTTGCTTGTTTCGAAAAAGTTGGTTTCAATGCCAATAAAAAACGATATTATCTTATCAAAATCATAAACCCACGTATTATTATCAAGTCTATAGTGCGTTTTAGTTGAATAAAAAACAATAAAATTTCTTTCGAAAGTAAAAAAAAAATGTTTTCATTCAGTGATGATTTAATTTGAGAAGAAAACAAAAGATTTTTTCTTATTCATTATTAATAATGCTCTGATAAAAAGCAAGCAATTTTGCTTTCATCACACAGTGTCAAATCTTTATAAATGGGAAACAATTGAAGTTTTACTGTTGAAATTTATTTTTATTGGTAACATAAGAAATATACGAATATTATATTATATCTAAAAATAACATGGTATCAGAAATAATAAAAAAAAGTACTCATTTTCCTCAACAAGTTAATCGTCTATCTCAGTTGACTACGAAAGCTATGTCCCGCAAGTGGTCAACTTACACAGATTGATTACTTACATTAAAACTTTTTAACGATGAACTCAGTTGTACAAACTACACTGATTGTGAGTTCATTGTTAAAAAGTTGCACTTAAAGTTTTAAAATTTGCTGACTAATAAATGCAAATTACCTATAATTTTTGCTAATTAGGCAGTACAATATGTAATTTGGTATGTGAGGTTTTTTTAAAAAATTTATTTGGTCTATACTTGTTAGTAAGGTTTAAAAAACGTTACCTTTCTAACGAGCACTTTTTCTAAAACCTCTCAAAGGTAAACAATTATCCGGAAATGCTTTTATTTTTATAAATTTTACTTTCAAAGGTTCCGTACCGCTAAGTTTAAAAATATACAATTTTATGTCTTAAAAAAGAAATCTTTGTATTTTTTGTCTGAAATATCTATATAATATTAAAATTTTATGATTTAGAATGGATAAAAACCAGTTTTTATGTATAAACTTTACTTTTGAAGATTTGGCATGGTTTGTCAATAACTCTCTGGATTAACTACGCTGAATCTCAATAGTTGCATTTCATATAAATTTTAATTGTTTTTATTGCTTTCAGCTTTTTAATGATTCATGAATATTTGAAACTGAAACACCAAATATCAGAATCAGAATACAATAATATCAGAATAAGTTCAAAAATCCTGTGCAGAAAAATAAGCATTATTTGTCCGTTCTAAATACTTCTACAACAGCCAAAATCTAGCATAACTTAGTTATATCTAATAGCAAAAACTATTTTCGCATTTGAATTAGTCTACCACATTTAGTTATAGAAAGTGAAAAGAAATTAGAGGTAACAAATAAAAAATTCTTGATAATTTTGTTTTAGTGGAGGGCAAACTCAAGGCATGCTTGCTGTAATGTGACACGGCGAGGTTTCAACAGCTTCCCTAAAAGAGTTATTGAAAATTTTGAGAAATAATATAATAATTTCTTTTTAAGAAACTTTGTCAAAATTTGTAAAAAGCCAACTAATGTTGCTCTAAATAAGCCATCCTAATTACATTAAATTTTTAAATTTGTGTAAGTTGACCACTTACGGCACATTGCTTCAGTGATCAACTCAGGCAGGCGATCAACTTATAGAGGAAAACAAGACAGTACTTTTTTATTATGCTAGTTTTTTTTACAAACCTATTTGTAACAAAAAGGTTTGTAAATGCACTTAAGTGTAAGTGCCATTAATAAGTGTTGTAAGTGTTAATAATTTCCCGTATAGTCAACTTATAAAAAGGTTAGATTTTATTAATAATATTATTAATAATATTTTATAACTGGCATTGAACAGCCGACCCAATTCTGATCTTACGATCAACAATTTTTTTTACTCCGTAGCCAACCCAGAAGACAAGGGAACTCTGGATCAAACATTGGGACAAACTACTAGCCTTTGTAGAGGACTCTTAGATACAACTAACCCGCATTTGCGTTACACGGAAAAGAAAATTGCTGAAAACTCCCATGGTTAGCCCGTTGACAAGGGGATTCTAACCCATGATCCGTCCACCTCTGAGGATATTCTACATCAGCAGCGTGGTTGGTGCGAGCCAGGAGCAGCATTCGTATCAACCAACCACCACTGGGATAAGTCCCAGGTACACCTCATTGGAAGGCGAACGCTCCATCCTCTCATTTACCGCGGGTCGATAATTATTAATAATATTAAAATTATAAAAATAAGCATTTTTTACTAGATTATGTAGAAATGATTGGAAATGCTATAAGGGAAAAGATAATTTCATCGAATCTAATCAGAACATTATCGACTAATGTATTAAATATCAAATACGAGTATTATAAGCACGTTTTAAGATAAATATGTATTTGAATTTCTTCAATACCACAAAATTTTGAAAAAGACCCTGTAATACCCTTGATTTTTTTAAATTTGTGTTGTATTTCGGTTTCGCAACTTGTGATTCCAGACTACTTCTGTAATATTGACATACTTTTTAAATGTGAAATCAAAGGCGTTGTCTTCCTCTTTTTTTTTTATTCGATACAATATTTTCTAAAAATACCTCAATAAATGATGGCTGGCATTCCTGCCTTCTCATTCCTGAATTTGATCTTTAATTTGATTTATCCGTTTAAAATGTCTTGCATTCTCTCTTGAACTTTCACATTCTTTCACATTTCCTTCCACGATGTCGTAATTTAAGGAAATATCTCGACTCGAATGTGGTAAGGGGAACTTATTCAGCAAAACTTAGTTGAGGAATTTTGGATCAACTAGTAAATAGCTTTTAAAAGTTCAGAGGGACCAGACATGGTTTCTTCATTTTATTCAAGACTAGTTGAATACCTGTTCTTCGTCCAGGATGAAAAAAAGTACATCTATATTAAGAAAAGAAAGAGTTCGCGTGGGTCTGTTTGCGTTTGTGTGTATTTCTAATAACTCCAAAGCCGTTTGCGCTAGAGTTCTGAAGTTTGGACAGCAGGTAAAAGAATAAATTTTAGCCTCCGTTCCCAGAAATTGTTCAGAAATTTCAATCGAACGATTTAGTTCGAGACAGACGAATGAAAAATGGAATTTTCTCACTGATTTAGTGAAAGCCAATGTTTTAAATTAAACTAGAAACGATTCAGTTCGTTCAGACGATTAAGATTTATGATGTTGGTTAGCTTATAGCTCTAATCAAAAAAGTTTTTTATTGCACGTTTCATAATGCTTGTCTTTTATACATTGTGTTATTATCTAAATGATTAAAGTGATCGTGGTAGCGTAGGCGGAATATATCACTAAATTAGAATTTCTATCTGAAACCATCTAAAGCTATCTGAAACCACTTGTTTATTTTGATTATAGTAATGCTTTCAAAAAGTGTTAATGAAAGAAAATAATAATTCAAAATCAACGTTAGTTGAAATTAAAAAAAGTATGGTTTGTACTGAAAACCAAAATCAAGAAGAAATGGTACTAATTCGCTGAGAAAAAGCGTAAAAAAAAATCCAATTGATGCCAATCATACTTGATTAATTTTGGCAATAGGTACTTAGCAAAATTAAGAAATAGGCTATGTACTAAAAAGCAAAATTAAGGGAGAAAATGTATTTATTCGTTATGGGGATTCGTAAAAAATCGCAATATTGTTACATTTTAACTTTATTTAATTTTGGTAATAGGCTCTTCTGGTATTATGGTCATTGAGACAGTTTTAATAGGTACCAAATGTATTCTTATCATGTATTTTTATAATGTATTTTTGTAATGTATTTTTATAATTGATACTGTGGAAGTAAAATTTTATGGCCCCTCGATAAAAGTTCATTAGAAAATCGGTTGATTGTGATAGATTTTAAATATCAGAAGTTAAATACCTCGAGCGGTAGCATTAGGACAGAGGATCCTGAATACAGATATTCTTTATTTTGATAGAATGAACAACTAAAACATGTTTCACTTAATGTAATAATGTAAAAGCACCGGGAAGGGTAACATATGATAATAAATAAAAAAGATATAGCAGATGTTTCAGCTTTATTATTTGTGTTAGTATTGGTCTTTTAGTTTTGTGCTTGATTTCGTTATGTTGTCCAGCACTACAACAGGGATTCTTTTTTCCCACCCCTTACGAAGAACGGATATTCCGTTAGTAATCACTAAATTAATACTGAACGATACTACGAAATCATTCTCAAAGCTGGAAAATATATATCGACATGATTAATACAGATTAATATCATTTTCTTATGGGTTTTTTATTTTCTGATGTTATCTTAAAAGTGTTTTTGATACAACTAAATCAGTTTAAAAGAATAAAAAGAGATGAAAGAGAGTTTGGGTTTGGGTTATAGCCAGGGTTTAATGACTTTTTTTACTTGGAACTCAATTCCATTTTATGGCAATTTGTAGTGTAAACGAAACTGAAAGCATATTTTAGCTAAACAGAGCTCAGAACAGATTTATCAAAAAATGTCTTCAATTATAATCCAAAATTTCGCTCAAGCCAAACATGATCCATTTGTTCGTTTTTCAGTTGAGAATTTATATTTTCCTATTTAAGGAAACCCGTATTTTAGAAGATGTTTTGAAATAAATTTATGGAAGAACTCTCGTATATTCTATTAGTTCAGACTTCACAACAAACAGCCATTTGGAAGAAGAGTGTAAAAATTGTAGTAAAGGTAGCTTACGTAGGAGATTTAACGTTAAGCAAATTTACAGTAAATTCGCGTGATTCTTTGGTTCTAGTTTCATCAATATACATATTCTGCAGAGTAAAGTTGGAAAAAAGAGCTTTAAGAAATATTTCTTTTATAATGATTAGAAAATGCAGTTTTAGCTGTTTAATTATAGACTGGTACTTAGACTATTGCAGAGATTAAGAGTCTTTTCAAGTGGGATCGAGAGAGCGATATCCTCTTCAAAACTGGATATAAAAAAGGGTCCCGTTTTTTCCCTTTAAAATATTCAAAAAGAAATTTGCTCTGAGAATTTTCATAGTTAAAGAACTTTTTAAATTATGTCTTTTTTTACATTTTTAACAAACACATCTTTTTTCTTTTATATTGCATGAATAAATTCGTGTATAACTAGAATGCACATTGCTGCGGAATTGCATACCTATTTAATTATTAAAGAGTATTAGAATTAGTCTTCTTCCATTAGTCTAATTGCATTGATAAATAACAGTGAGCCGAAATAAATAATTATGCGTGCATTTTATGGACGTTCATGTATAATTAAAATAATTATTACATACTATCTCATCATCAGATCTGGTGACCTCAAAAGGCGATCACCGCCTCCACTTCCCTCTGTATTCACTACTATTAAATTTAAAACCTTAAATTCACTCTATTTCAATTTGGAGTTCGCAAATGAGGTCTCGCTTTGGAGGAGTAGGGATTCGTAAAATAGTGTAAGTTTTTAAGACAAGGGGGAGAGAGGTAACAAGAAGTGTGACAAGAAGAAGAGAAGTGTTCAGCTAATTACTTTCGTCAAAAATTATTTGTAAATTAAATATCTGTTTTATAGCTGACCAACTGCATTCTTAAAAGTGACCTGAAATTAACGACTAAAAATTTTTTGATTGCCTCATAAAACAAAATTTTTTAACCTTTTTTTAAATTTGCCCAGACTGTGGCCACCCTGGATGATTTAGAATGATGCCCTTACCAAAATCACTAGGGCACATGTGCCCCACTGAAGCATCCTAGGGACCATCCTATACCTCATCTACGACTATGATTTTCCTGCTAATGAAAACACACAAGAGATGGTAGCTTATTATGCAGTCGTCACATCACTGATATACCAGTTCAGACAACCCAAACACGCCATCAAAAAACTCCAAGTCAGATTATACGAAGTTAAGATAAATGCAGTTGCAGACAAGTTGAACCTCATTATAGTCAGACAGCATAAATCAAATGCACAAATAACAGAAAAACTAACCTATTCTCTGAAGAGATTTCCATAGTTAGCAAAGCAAAGTATTTTGGAGTTACTGTAGCATACAATCTAAATTGGTAAGAACTTATCAATATTACTTTTTAGAACTTATCAATATTACTACTTAGCACAAGGGGCATATCAATACCTGAAACCACTAATAGACCACCAGTCGAGACTAAATCTGTACAACAAACGCTTGCTTTATATCATGTGCATACATCCAATCATCATGTATGCCTCATCCGCATGGACGACTGCAACTGAGCAAAAACAGATATTTTCCAAAAACAAATTCAACGATATTTACTAAACTCCCCGAGATGCATTATCAACGAAAATATACACAAAGACATGAAATTAGACAAACTCAGTCATTACTTGAAAAACTGAATATACCATTTTATAGCGAGCCATTCACTACAACACTGCTAACTTTACCATCATATTTTAATCAAGAACTTACCGACGCAACTGCCAAATATAATCCAGTCCTTTCTTTCCATCAGACGCTGTCCTTAGTACCATCCACAAGCACTAAAGACTTCAGCATGATACGAATAATCTGATATCAACAAACTCCTCCTCCAACGATATACATTAGATATCACAATTTAGATATTAATCGAATATCCACCGATGGATCGATCGGTGATGCCTTCGATGGCTAGTGCCGAGAAATAGATAATTAATTAGAATTATGTGTTTTTCCATACCATCCTACATGGCTTTCTTTAGATTTAGAGCAAGTAATCAGAGCTGATTTATTATAAGGGCTGAGAGGTTTAGGCCTAAGCTCCCAAATTAACGTTATCTTCCCTAAGAAGCGTCTGCTAGAATTATGAATTACAAACAATAAATGCAAGGTACAATTTTCTTAATATAACGTAATTCTACCATAATCTCTTATATTTTCTTTTAATAATGTTATAAATCATCCAAAAGCATTTTGCATACGAATAATCAACGAGATGTTTAATCAACGAAATTGAAATAGATTAGTTGACCTCGTTTGTCTGCGTTTTCTGGTTTCTAATATGAAAAAAGCGTTTTTTCTCCTACTTTTGTTACTGTGGGCGATCAATTCATGTAGGATTTGAAGGTTAGGTTATCAGGCAGAGAAGATATGAAATGATGAAAGTTAAATTCTGTTGTGGAAGCTATAATATCAGTGTTGCCAGATTGGGCTACAAGTAGCGGATTGGGCTACTTTTAAAAGTCCCCGCTACTGAAAATCGAATTTGGGCTACCCGCTACTTTTTGGGCTACTTATTATTTTTTGAATGCTACAAATCTTAAAAATGCGCTACTTTTTTCCTCACAGAAATATATATAAATTTTTTTAAATTTTCCCCTTCCCATTATAAAATGATTCTGAAAGTTTGCAGTTTCTTTACCCTTTTCAAAGAGGACATTTTTTGTTGTTGTTAAAAATGCTTTAACTTTAGATTTGGATTCTTGATTTGTCCATATCTATGTTTCAAATCGTAAACTCGCGAAATCGCAAAGATTAATATGGAAAAATATACGGAGAATATGATGGGGAAAAAAAATCTTCAACCACTATTAATCGGTTATCGTCTGGAAAAACAAATCACATGACTCGCTTCACTTTGAAACTGAGAAAAATTAAAATCTAGAGTCATTAAACATGCTGAATGAAATAGTTGTTGTGAATGACAATGAGTTTCCAAAAAATATCGTACTTTTAAATGCTTTTTAGTAAATTCATTTTACTTTTGTAAATTGCCATATATATACAGTTTCACGAAAAATAGCATTCCAGGAAATATAGAAATTTCAAATAAAATTGAAAACTTTTCTCTGAACATTTGCTTATCGCATACACGTCCACCATTTTCAGATTTGCCAATAGAATTATTACCGCAAAAATCCCAAATTGGAGAGATATAAAATCAGTGGCGCTGTCTCTTACCAACAAAGTGGGACAATTTTTTTCCTGATGGCATTCCTACAAATGGGATAGATTTCTGGTGCAAGGTCACAACAATTAAAAATGCAGGTGATGATCTTGCTTTTAAGGAATTGTCTCAATTTGGATTAAATATGTAAAGTTTACCGATTAGCAATACCACAGTTGAGAGAGTGTTTTCAAGGGTAACATCAACAAAAACCAAACTTTGAAACAGAATGAGACTTGAACTTTTATCATCAATTCTTCGAATTAAAATGATGTTTGAAGATAGAAATACATGTTGCTATGATTTTATACCATCAGCTAAAATGCTCAAATTTAATTCATCGATTTATCATGGGGAATCATCGACAGAGGAAAATGAAGAGGCGGATCACATACTTTCGGTTATACAATTCTAATATCTTGTACTACAATAATTTTGCATTTAGCATTTTTAGTGGGTTAACTTAGTCAAAAGAATAAGCTAATGTGTTAAGACGAATATTTCAAAAATTTCTGCAATTTTTTCCTTCTTTTCTAAATTAAATATTGCTGAAAATTACTTTATTTTAAATAATTAATTACAAAATTTAAAAATATATTTTTATTAATAGTATCTTTTTCTACAGAACTATCTAGCTTTCTACGTATTAAAAAAAGATTATGAAAAAATAATATTTCATATGCAAAAAAAAACATATTTTGATTCACAACCAGGATATTAATTTTGATAGAAGATTGGAAAGTGGGGTTACTTTTCCCGACTGATTTTTACACATAAAGCTTGAAAAAACGCGCTATCCAATATTATTATAATATTAGTGTTTTTCATATTACGCGTTCTTTCAATTTAACACTTTCAGCAAAACAAACCACAAATGAATTCGGGAGACTCCGCAAGCTTGCTACGATACTACCCAAAATATAGCAGACGTCGCTGTTTTACAGAAATATAGCCAAATAAATTAGAAAACTCAAAACATGGCAAACTTTACACTTTATTAGTGCTGTGATATTAATTTTGTTAATATATATATATATATTGTTTTCTTTTTATTTATTCGTTTATTTTTTGGGCTACAAAATGTTCGAATCCGCTACTTTTGGAGCTCCCATTCGCTACTTTTTAATCATAAGTTCTGGCAACACT